GTGGCGCTACAGTGCAACATGTCAACGAGGTTAGCAGTTTATCTGAATGACAGAGTTGGAGATAAAGGAGATTTGAAGGGACGGCTGTAAATTTGTTATCATGGGGGTCTCTACAAGGAGGGGGGGGGCACCTCAGAGAAAGTTTGGGAACCACTGGATGAGACCGAGATTTTCCTGCTGGATTAAGTTGAGGTGATTAAAGTTTGATTATAGTCGAAATCAATAATCAATAAATAATAAATAAGACACAAAGCAACATCAGATCAACAACCACTACCATTGATGTCCATGACTATGACCAGCAACTATGGCAGCGGGGGCTAATCTAACCGCAGACGCTGAGGTCAGAGCTGAAGACCAGCCATCAATCCTACAAACCTGCAGTTCACACAAACTATCAACAGGGGGGGGTTTCGTTTCTTTCTTTTTTTTTTTCAATGTAAAGTTCAACAAGAACTGAAGTATCGCAGTTCATGGAAATAAAGCTGCACCACAAAATTATATATGTGCTGTATATTTATACAGTATGAGTATATATATTTAATATTCACGCACACATATATAAATATATATATACATATATATGTGAATATTAAATATATTAAAAGGAACTCAGGTTCAGAAAGGTTATGTGTATATATGTACACATATACATGTATATATGATATACACATACAAATATATACATACATATATACACACATATCTAGTATATGGTGCATTTTAAAACATTAATGTCACATACGTTGCGGCTTTATTTCCATGACGTGCCGTAGTTTATAAGAGTTTAACGTAACGACCGCCGTTATCTGCGCGTCGTCGCTGTACGGACGAGAAGCTACGCAGCTAGCCGTCGTCCTGCATCATTCAATATTAGCTTCATTCAGATCGCTCCAGGGTCGATGACACTGCAACAATAATACTAGGGCGTGGCTAACAAGACAGTGACGATGCATGAAGTCGGATGACGTTGGATTCTACAACCCAAAAGAAGCGCAGACACTGTTTTTTTTTTCCCCACAGGTGACAAACAAACGAAGAATGAATCCGTCCATCAATATTCATATCCACATGCTCAGTGACGCCACCGTATGGCGCTGCGGTCGGTTCACTGCCCGTTCATCTCCCTCTCCATAATCTCAGTCCATATACCTATACATATATTTCTATATATACTTATATTTATTTATATATTTTACGTATATTTTACAGTGAAATGTAGAAGCAGGAAGAGGTCAAACACACTTGAACCCGGAGGGAGGGACTGGGGGCGGGGGGGGGTGCGGAGGAGGGTAAGGTTGAGAGGTCGCGAGAACACGGATGTACACGGCTACAATTCACAACATTACTACGCAGTACGCCTCCGGGGGCAGCGACCCGGTGTTTGGTCCACACCACAGCCCGCAGTACAGTGTGTGTGTGTGTGTGTGTGTGTGAAACACCGAGCCGCTGACTTTGACTTTCACCTTCTCAGCCTCGGCTCTGAAAACAGACACCGACGTTTGTCAACAGCCTCAGGTCGGAGGATGAAAGTGAGGAATAGGAACGGGAAGAGACACTTCACTTCAAGACCACAGGCTTCTGTGTTTGACTTGAGTGATCGTCGCCGCACCATCTGCTGCGGGAATCCATCAGCCAGGGCCGTCATTGGACGGATTGAAATGGTGGAAAAAGAAATCTCTCATTTTTTTATTTTTTTTAATATTTTTTTTATGGACGAGAGTGGCAGACCGCTGCTGATGAAGGCGGAGCAGGACAGATGGTGGTTCACACTCAAACAAACTCTAAGCAGGCAAGTGTGAAATCTCCCTTTCAGAGGAGAGGAGAGGAGCGGGGGGAGTCTCACCGGTACATGTCAGTAATTGCTTAAAATATACACTTTGTATTTGTTTCTTCTTTACGATTGAGTGCATCATGGTGCCACAGTCACATGATGAGGGACGTGTAGCCAATCGGCACCAGTCCCTCCGTGTCTCCCTGACGACAGCGAATCCAGTCCTGGTCCACTCCTCCCAGCACCAGGAGTTCTTCTCCTCGACAGAAAGTGAGCTCTGAACCTGTTCCAGTGTAGTCACACAGTGTCCGCACCGACCTGCCGACACACAACGGAAATGGACTTGAACCAAAACGCTCTCCCACACAGGCCCCCAACCATCGATTGGGCCACAGATGTTAATCATGTATGACGTAAAATAATATTCTCAGACTGGTCATTTAAGGTTTAGATAAGATAAAAATAATAAGACTGATACTGAAACAAAAAATTATATATAAAAAAATGAAAAAATAAAAGTATATTAAATAAAACTCACCATTATGCTGGACGACGCATATTTAATACTTTGGAAGCCGAAGAACTCCTTCTTCTGACTCCTCTGTCGGCCTTTATTTTCCTTTTTTAGGAAACTTTCTGAGGACTTTTATTTTGAAAAACGACTCGGGCGCCGTAACCGAAGAAGAATCGTGTCATTTTTCAACGCAATTTTTTTTTTCGCCATAATTAATGTAACGCAATTAATGTTTGTTTGAGGCTGGGTAACAATGACCCACGGCCTGACATTGGTCCAGGGGCCAGTGGTTGGGAACCACTGTTCAACAACAAGCTTGTTTCAGAGAGTTTCTCAATCCAAGTTAAAGTCAAGGTAGCAAATAAAAATAAAGTAACAGAGCCAGTAGAAACAAACAAAATTTTCAAAAAACATATGACAAGATCAAGTTCAACAAAATCAATTTCCTCTCAGGTGAAAACATGTTCCTCGTTACTTGATAATTAGCATAAAAGTCCGACTAAATCTGTCTTTCCTACCACTAAGATCAACGTCTTATGAAGACGAGTTAACTTAACTAGCTATCACTTCTCAAACCATTGATTTTTGCCTAAATTGGCCTCAGCCAATAGGATGGCCCGGCCCTGGTACCTGAGTGGGCGGGGTCTGTCCTTCATCAGCAGTGACTCGGCCTGTTTGTCGGACCTCTCCTCAGGTTCCTGCTGTTGTTCTGCAGCTCTGGTCACCATGGGGGCGGAGCTGCTGCTGATCATTCTGGTGATGGCCGTGACGCCGGGAGCCAACCACTGGGAGGGACGTCTGAGGAGACGGGGACAATGAGACACAAAGACACAAAGACACAAAGACACTAAACTGATTAAAAATCCCACGGACAGACCTGGTTGGTGTCACGTGACCTGCTGGGCTGTTGAGGTTTTTAGAAGCTCCGAAGAGGCGTCCCAGACCCCAGGGTACATGTCCGACGCTGCCGACTGAGGTGTACTCACTTCCTGTCTGAGTCTGGAGCGCTGACAAGTCAGCGTTCGCCTCCAGCCTTTTCACAGCGGCCATGTTCTGGCTCAGTCGGTCTCCCAGACGCATCACGGCCTCCCATCCCTGCTGGATCACCTGTTATTAAAAGAAAGGTCAGCGGTGCTCGACCTCGCACTCATCAATGATGGAGGAGCATCGATCCGTTGGAAGGAGGAGCTACCTGTCCGGCCTGCTGAGCCAGGCTGTCGCTCTCAACGTCAGGCAGAGGTAACGGCCCGATGTCCTTGTTCTGCACCCACAGCAGCTGAGGGCTGGTTTGACTGAGAGCGACCGGAGCGTTTCCATTTGCAGCGTCGTCCGTCTCTTCCTCGTCATCGGCCTGCGGTGACGGCGACTCTCTCGCTTCCCAATGCCCTGGATTTCCAAAGTCAAATTCGGACAGGACTTCCACGTGTTTGCCCCCCGTGGTTTTGAACTGTGACCCCTTCGCCGACAGCCGCTGGAGTCCCGCGACCTGAGAGGGCGGAGTGGGGATCTGTGGGCCGTGTGAGTCGGCCTCCAGGCGGTGGTGCTGGAAGAGGAGGTCCAGGTTGAAGGTGAGCAGGCTGAGAGGCTGCAGCACCAGGAGCAGCTCCTCAAACAGAGGCTGACAGCTGCTTAGAGAAAGATGCATGAAGGAGGTGGGGTGGTAGAAGATCTCCAACACATCTGAGGAAACACCAGGGGGCAAGGGTCAAAATTCAGAAAATAAAATTTGGAAATTTTCAGAAATTACTAAAAAGTTTCATAAACTTTTGACCAACATAACATGTGAAATTACGATTTTGCCGAAAAATTCTAAAAAAAAAATTTCTTCTAAAATGTTTTCCAAAATGCTCTAATTTGATGAGAAACATGCAGAAAAAATAACATTTTGAAAATGTTTGTAAAAAAAGTTTTCATCATAAATTTTCATTTTTTTAAAACTTTTTTTCAAAATGCTTTAATTTGATGAGAAACATGCAGAAAAAATAACATTTTGAAAATGTTTGTAAAAAAAGTTTTCATCATAAATTTTCATTTTTTTTTTACTTTTTTCAAAATGCTTTAATTTGATGAGAAGCATGCAGAATATATAAAATTTTGAAAAAAAATTTGAAAAAAATTTTCATCATACATTTTCACCATCTGACCAACATGACATGATGAAATTAGGATTTTGCCAAAAAAAAATTTTTTACCGCTGCAAGACTGTAGGTGAGACAACCAGAAATCAAGGAGCGTTTTTTTTACCACTGCAAGACTGTAGGTGAGACAACCAGAAATCAAGGAGCTTGGAGCTGGGTGAGAAGAGAGAGGAAGTTTAGAAAAAACAAAACAAAAACGTCAAACTGTCAGGCTTCAAGGCAGATGTAGAGCGTGACTCGTACTTCAGGAGACCGAAGAGGAATGCGTTGAAGCGGTGTTTGCTCTGACGGAGCTGTGGCAGCTCCACCACCCGAACTTGGAGGTTGAACAGCGCCTGGGTTTTAGGACCTGAGATGAAAACGGGAAACACTTCAGGTCAAATGACCAGCAGTTATCAGTCAAACAGAGTTACTGTAGTCCAGGTACGGAGGTAAAACACACACACACACGTGGTTTAAAACAAATAATAATAAATAATCTTAGTCCAGCAGGACAAATCCTGACTCTTGTAAATGTCAGGTGTGTTTCCGTGGGTCGGCGTTGACTACCTGGCCTGGTGGAGGCCTGCACCAGGCCCCAGGCAGAGTTTGGCCTCCTTCCTGAAATCAGGTCACTCTGATGAGGCTTCAAGCCGTCGGTCAGCAGACTGTGCAGGGCGGGGCACAGGCACTGCAGCACCAGACGGCCCAGGGATGGATTTACAGTGCTGTCTCCTGATAAGGCCTGAGAGCGGAGGAAAAGGGGGTGAGGGCAGCAGAGGGGGGGAGGTGGAGGAGAGGGCAGGAGATAAGACAAGAGGAGAGGAGGCATGAGAGAACGGTGGGAGTGAAGGAGAAGAGGGTGAGGGAAACGTACGTGCAGCGATGGAGACGAGCGGGGGAAGAGAATGGAGAAGGAGTGAATCAAGACGAAGGAGGGGAGGGGGAGAAAATGACAAAGGGGAGAGTTTGGGGTGAGGTGGGAGTTAGTTCACAGAAAGGAGTTATTAGATTCTGACAGTCGGGGTTATCTCAAAATATTCCTGTACCTTGTTAAGTGAGAGAGACTGAGAGGAGATGGAACCAGAGGTGAAGAATCAGAACAGAGAGAAAGGAAAGAGGGAGTCGTTTCATGAGACACAGACAAAATGATCCTTCATTCAGAAACCAACGCACAGTGAGATCGCTCATAGATTTATTCAAAAATATCAGTCTGATGAAGAATTAAAAAAAAAAAAAAGGAAAGAGGAATTTGTTCTTTTATTCAGAAATGTCTGACCTTTTGAACTGCAGTCCTGTTCTTTTATTCAGGAATGTCTGACCTTTTGAACTGCAGTCCTAGAAGAACTGAACTGGGCCAGGACGGCGTCCACTGCCACACTGACGGCACCGACCAGAGCTGTGGGAAGACCAGAGGTGGACAGATGAAGACAGGAAGCAGCAGCAGCAGCAGCAGCTGGGTGGAAAACAAACAGGCAAGTGATAGAGTCCAACCTTTTTTCTGCAGGAACAGAGAGGACAGTCCCAGACCCGTCATTGGAAAGGTCACATTTTCGCCCATCCAGGAAGTCTGTGCACGCCGCACAAACGAGGTGCTGTGAACGTCTGGAAAAGACACAGCAGTGGTTAGAACTCCAGTGGAGAAAGAAATAAAATGTAAACAGAAGCAAAAGAAATAAATAAAACCAACAATGAGGGAGGTCTCATATCAACTTTTTGCCGATATCCAATATACCTTAATTTCTGATTCCGATATCAACCGATATTACTGTAGGCCAGGTGTTACAAACCACTGTATGAGTATGAGATTAATTAAATGAGCTGCAATGCTGCCATCTAGTGACTTTCACTTTCACATACAGCCTTTTATCCCCAAAATTCTGTGCTGCAGTGACAACAGAACTGCTTTCTATTGGAACACATGTACAGTGATTTCTATTGGTTCAATCTCTCTGTCAAAGTTCAGGACAAATTTCTGATTAGAAGTCTTCACCAGTGTGTTAGTTTTCAAACGCATCTTTTAATTTTTAAACATATAAAAAATAATTATATATTATATTAAATACATAAAAAAAGAATACAAATAACTTAGCTGTCTGAACATCTAAAAACAAGTTATTTGTTAAGGTTTGAGGACTGCTAGGTTTTATTTTTAAAGTACAGCATTTGCCTCAAAGGGAAAATTTGGATTAGTAGATTAAAACCTTCCTTTAACCCTGTAACCCAACCATCAACCAGACTTTACATGACGAAAAAACAAGAACAAGAACAAGAACATGGAGACCGGTCAGACCATTCAAAGACAAAGACAGAGACAGAGAGAAGGAGACAGTGATGAGGTCGGCTCTGGACACACTCCTCTGGACGTCTTGGACGGTCAGGTGACCTGGCTGGTGAAACATAAAACAAC